ATATCTCCTCAATATATGTTCCACTCTATATGCATCCGAAGAAGTGGGCTGTAGCCCACGAAAGCTTATGCTCTAATAAATTTGCTAGTCTCTAAGGTGCCACAAGTACTCCTGTTCTTTTTGCAGATACAGACTAACACGGCTGCTACTCTGAAACTCAATATGCGTCAACAATGTAACATTGTTGCAGATAATGCGAACGTCATTTTGGGATATGTTACTAGGAGTGTTGTAAGCAAGACACAAGAAGTAAGTCAAACAGACCATCTATATATAGCAGACAAATCTGCCTTAATGTAAAAGATTAATTCTACCACTACTCAGCACTGAAAAGACCTCAATTGGAGTGTTGTGTCCAGTTCTGGGCACCATACTTCAAGATAGATGTGGACAAATTGGAGAAAGTCCAGAGAAGAGCAACAAAAATGATTAAAGGTCTAGAAAACATGACCTACGAGGGAAGATTGAAAAAATGGGCATGTTTAGTCTGGAGATGAGAAGACTGAGGAGGGACATAAATTTAAATTAAATTTTAAATTTTAAATTAAATTAATGGAGATATCCTATCTCCTAGAACTGGAAGGGACCTTGAAAGGTCATCGAGTCCAGCCCCTGCCTTCACTAGCAGGACCAAGTATTGATTTTGCCCCAGATCCCTAAGTGGCCCCCACAAGGATTGAACTCACAACCCTGGGTTTAGCAGGCCAATGCTCAAACCACTGAGCTATCCCTCCCCCCCAAATAATAGTCTTCAAGTATGTAAAAAGTTGTTATAAAGAGGAGGGTGATAAATTGTTCTCCTTATCCACTGAGGACAGGACAAGGAGCAATGGGCTTAAAATGCAGCAAGAGAGATTTAGGTTAGACATTAGGAAAAGCTTCCTAACTGTCAGGGTAGTTAAGCATTGAAATAAATTACCTACAGACTTACCTACAGAGGTTGTGGAATCTCCATCTTTGGAGGTTTTAAGAACAGGTTAGACTAACACCTGTCAGGGATGGTCTAGATCAGAGGTGGGCAAACTACCACCCGCGGGCCACATCCGACCCACGGGACCCTCTTGCCTGGCCCCTGAGCTCCTGGCTCATGAGGCTGGCGTCCTCCCCCCCCCCCGCCTGTACTCCTCTCCCGCAGCCTCAGCTTGCCGCACCGTCAGCGCAGTGCTCTGGGCAGCGGGGCTCTTGCAGAGCCACAGCCTGACCCAGTGCTCTGTGCTGCACGGTGGCGTGGCTGGCTCCAGCTGGGCAGAATGGCTGCCTGTCCTGGCGCTCTGGGCAGCGCCGCTGTAGCACCGCCAGCCGCCGGTGCTCCAGGCAGCACAGTAAGGCGGCAAGGAGCAGGGAGGGTTGGATAGAGGGCAGGGGAGTTCAGGGTGGTAGTCCGGGGGTGTGGGGGTGGATCGGGGGTGAGGTGGTCAGAGGGCGGGGAACGAGGGGGTTGAATGGGGGCAGGGGTCCCGGGGGAGCAATCAGGAATGAGAGGAGGGGTTGGATTGGGCAGCGGAGGGCAGTCAGGGGCAGGGGTCTCGGGGGGGACCATCAGGGAACAGGGAGGGGTGGATGGGGCAGGGGCCCCGGGGGGGACCATCAGGGAACAGGGGGGTTGGATGGGGCAGGAGTCCCCGGGGGTCTGTCAGGGGGCGAGAAGCGGGGGGGGGGTCGGATAGGGGGCGGGGACCTGGCCACGCCTGGCTGTTTGGGGAGGCACAGCCTCCCCTAACCAGCCCTCCATAAAATTTCAGAAACCCGATGTAGCCCTCAGGCCAAAAAATTTGCCCGCCTCTGGTCTAGATAATACTTAGTCTTGCCCCAGTGCAGGGCATTGGACTAGATGACCTATTGAGGTCCCTTTCAGTCCTAGATTTCTGTGACTCTGTGAAACTGTTCTGCTGGTCTCCTGTTAAAGGCAAAAGTACAGGAACCAGGCAAAACTGGATTCTATAATCTGTCTTCCTTTCAGATTTCAGTAGATGTGGGAAATCAGATTCAAATCCCCAGGGTTGGACCTGCCCCTGCAGATCTAGTTCTGGGCCTGGTTCTGAGGCAGTTGAAATTGTTCATGAGGTTTCTGGCCAAGCTGTTAGAATTCTCACGAGAACAACTGATTTCCTAAGAATCTTGCCAAATTGGACAACAATCTTAAAAGAGAAATTTTATTTATTTATTTATTTTAGCATCACTGAAAATCAGACCAGATCCTTGCTTTGGCCTGAAAGCCAAGCTCTAAACCCATCAGAATCTGTATCCAAACATCAGCCTCTTGGACCATCATGCTATATGGGGGCCTGTTGAGCTGGGATGCAGTGCTATTGCCTTGGTCTGCAATCAGCTTAGGCAGGGATTGCAGGTGGGAGTTTGCACAATACCAATTAGAACAACATACTGTTGCTGGCACAGAGTGCCCGAGGACAGCAACAGCGGGGTCCGTTGGCCGGTGTGCTTTGCGCCAATGAACACACCAGGGTGGAGAAGCAGTCAAAGTTTATTTGAGATCTCAAAGTGGTGCAAGGAGACAGGCACGTCTCAAATCAAGCACACCAACATAAGCAGCCTTTGTCTTTTATACATTTTGCAGCTAAGCCTTTCCCTTCTTCCCCCGCCCTTTCTCACCCCCCTTCCTCCATTCCCACCTCTCCCCCTTTCTCCCTCTGGCTACATTACACGACCTTGGCTGTGCAGCTTGTTCTCGCTGTTTCTTTCTGCAAGTAATCTTGTCCTTTAGCTAGAAGCATGTAGGTTTCCCTTATCACTACTGCTTCCCAGCTGCTGGCCTGTGAGGTTAGTAAAGTTTAACATGCAGGGGCTTTGATTCACTTTGGCCTAGAGCAGGGGGGCTTCATTGACTCTCGGGTCTTCCAACCCCCCCGAGTTACCTAGGGTGATGCCTAGTGCCACCAACAATACTGCCTTGTGTTCATGGCAGTCTTGTTCTGGTGCCGTTTTCCTATTGCAGTCTCTGGGCTGGTAGCTCTTCCTCTGGTTAGCTCTCTGGTGTCTCCTGTGTGAGTTAGTTTCCCCCATTGCTTTTCTTTCTCCTCCAGGTGCCGTTTCTCTCTGTAGGGGGGGACATCGGGGTCCGTACCATTCAGCACCAGGACACCAGCGCCATGAGCGGGGAATACCTCATTGAGGACGTAAAAGGGGACAACATGTGCTATTTCCGGCGGCTCATCTTCCTCAGCAACAGGAATGTGGTGCAGTCGGAAGCCAGGCTGCTGTCCAGTGCAGCCCCTAGAGGTGTGTAAACTTGGGCCTAGAAATTTGGGAAAGATTCTCAGGGCTTGGGCAGCACATTAAGGGCTGGGAAGAGTTGCAGTAGACCCAGGAGCCATTGGATGGCTCTGGGCAGCAATAAGCAGGTTGGAAAGCAATGGGAGCACATCATGAGAATAAATGGAACAACCACATTGGGTGACATCTAGCTCATCGCAGGGGGCCACTGTGGAGAAGAGAGATTGGGGTGTATTGGTCAATCACAGGATGACTATGAGCCGTCACTTCGATGCGGCTGTGAAAAAAGCTAGTGCAGTCCTAGGATGCATCAGGGAAGTGTTAGTACCATTATAGAGGGCACTGGTGAGACCTCATCTGGAATACTGTGTGCAGTTCTCTTCTCCCATGTTTAAGAAACATGAATTCAAGCTGGAACAGGTGCAGAGAAGGGCTGCTAGGATGATCAGAGGAAGGGAGAACCTACTTTACAAGAGGAGACTCAGAGTGTGGTTTGTTTAGCTTAACAAAATGAAGGCTACGGGGAGATAACTCTCCCTCCTTGGTGTTTAAGGGTTAGTGTTGGCACAAGAACAAATGGATATAAACTGGCCACCAATGAGTCTAGGCTTGAAATTAGGCAAAGATTTCTAACCGTCTGAGGAGTGAAGTTCTGGAACAGCCTCCCAAGGGGATCAGTGAGGGCAAAAAGCCTAACTGGCTTCAAGACTGAGCTTGATATATTTATGGAGGGGATGGTATGATGAGGTTGCCTACAATGGCATGTGACCCATCTGCCATTAGTAAATTTCTCCAATGGGTGGAGAGGGACACTAGATGGGGAGGGTTCTGAGTTACCACAGAGAATTCTCACCAGGCAGACACCTGGGAAAGTCTCGCTCACATGATCAGGGTCTAACTGATCGCCATATTTGGGGTCATAAAGGAATTTTCTCCTGGGTGACACTAGCAGTGACTGGGGGTTTTTCACCTTCCTCTGCAGTGTGGGGCATGGGTCACTTGCAGGTTTAAACTAGAGTAAATGTCAGATTCTCTTTAACTTAGGGTAGGTCTACACTTACTTCCTGGTTCGGTGGCAGGCAATCGATCTTCTGGGATTGATCCCGGAAGTGCTCACTGTCGACGCCAGTACTCCAGCTCGGCGAGAGGAGTACGCGGCATCGACGGGGGAGCCTGCCTGCCGCGTCTGGACCCGCGGTAAGTTCGGACTAAGGTACTTCGAATTCAGCTACATTATTAACGTTGCTGAATTTGCGTACCTTAGTCCGAAGTGGGGGGTTAGTGTGGACCAGGCCTATGTCTTTAAATCATGATTTGAGGATTTCAGTAACTCAGCCAGAGGTTAGGGGCCTGTTACAGGATTGAGTGGGCAAGGTTTGTGTCCTGCAATGTGCAGGAGGCCAACTAGGTGATCACAACAGTACCTTCTGACTTCAAAGTCTATGAATATGTTCTCTAGCCTCTTGTCCTTTCTGATTTTAAAGGACTCCAGTGATGGAGCTTCCACCACTTACCTTTATGATTTATTGGTGGTGTCCATGGTGGGTTATGCACTTTCCAAAGCTCAGGAAGAACGGTCCCTGCTCAGAGAAGCTGGTATCCTCAGGAGATTAGCCCACAGTCCAATCCTGCACCTTTTGCTGTGAGGAAACATTTTCTGGTGTTCATCTTATGTTTTCCTTTTCTTAATTCTTTCTCAGTGCTCCTAGTGGTGCTTCTAAACCATTCTTCAACCACCACCACCTTCAGCTGAGCGAGGGCAGGCAGTCTTAACCACAACCTGATGTAAAGTCCCAATCTGAATATTACTGAGCTGTTAGATGTTTAGTGGGACTCAAGAGAGATGGATTGTCGTCTCAGGCCTGATGCCATCTCACGGCTGCCAGGAGCAGCATTTTAATTCATTATGGGAAGGACAAAACAAAACCCTAAGGACGAGGGAGAGTTGGACACACTGAGAATAAGGCCTGGTCTACACTGGGGCGGGGGGGGAGGGGTCGATCTAAGTTACACAACTTCAGCTACGTGAATAACATAGCTGAAGTCGATGTACTTAGATCTACTTACCGTGGTGTCTTCACTGCGGTAAGTCGACAGCTGATGCTCTCCTGTTGACTTCGCCTGCGCCTCTCACCCTGGTGGAGTGCCGGAGTCGACGGGAGAGCGCTTGGCAGTCGATTTATCACATCTAGTCTAGATGCGATAAATTGACCTCCCCCACTGGATCGATCGCTGCCCGTCGATCCAGTGGGTAATGTAGACAAGCCCTAAGAGAGTAAAACTGATAAATCCTGACATGACAGTACCGCTAGCCAGTCACAGCAGCCACAAGGTCCTGGTTGAATTGACATGAGAGAATGAGACCACGCCCCATGTTTTCCTGTTGGCAGACACCTTTGAAGTCTTAGCTGCCTGTGAACAAATGATCAGAAATCGTTTTTCCCAGGGACTTGTAAAGGGGACAGGTGATGGAGTCTGTGCTGCAGGGGAGGTGGGAGAGTTTGGAGATGACGTGTGTACAGACTGGAGGGGAACGAGGCTGGTATCAGAGGTCAGTGGGTGTGGGGCTCCAGTCGCCCAGGCAGGTGAGTATGAAGGCGTGGGTGTCTGTTTGAAATGTTGGAAAGGGAGCAACAAAAGGAGTTAGCCACAGCCAGAGGTAGGACTGCAGGCTTGGGGAAGGGAAGAGATCATCCAGCCCCTTTGAAAACCTAGCTACAGTCTGACCCTAAGATGAACCCCTAATGGATACAGCAGAATGAAACGAGCCCTTCTCCAAGCTTCTGCATAGCCACATGGGGACTTAGCGGCCCCTCTCCCCCAAGGATATGCCCTGCTGTCCCCAGTGCTTGTCAGGTGTGCCAGCCCCTCTGCATGTCTGCCTGGGCGTCTGGCTAATGTGTCTCCTGTGTTCAGGCCAGAAGAAGCGGAAGAAGGACAAGAAGAAACAGGCATCTGGCTCCACCAAGGCCCCCCCAACATCAGCTTGCCAGGCCATTGACAGGAGCTACCTCTGCTGTGAACACCATAAGGCCATGGTTGCGGGACTGGCTCTGCTGAGAAACCCTGAGCTTCTACCAGGTGCGAGGCCCATGAGCTAAGAGAAACGACACCCCCCCACACTCCCCCCGCCATAGGAGAGGGCAAGTCCCTAGTACAAGTCTTCCCTGCAGTTGTACCTGGTCTAGTCAACTCAGAGTCAGGGACAGCTAAGGGGAGGGGCGAGTGTCTCCATCAGTGACCGAATGGCAGGGCAAGCCCAGGGACTCCTCTCTGGCTGCTTCTGGTGCTAGTCCGTCTATGTCCTCTCCCTATCCCAGAGGTAGGGGTGAGTCTCTGGTGCCGTCTGGACACGTTGTGGATAGTGCTGTAGCCTCCCCCAGCATGAAAGATGCTACAGAAACGGCACACGTTTGTTTTGGTATGGAGTGGCTGCAGAGGCTAGTGCTTAGAGCAGGAGCCTTGGACTCTGGGCTCCTGGTTTCTGTTCTTGGCGCTGACACAGAGTGCTTATGGGTTGATGTCTGTGCCCCAGCTCCCCTGTCTGTAAAGCAGCAAGGACGACACTTGCCCACGTCCTGCCGGAAGGGAGGGGAAGCTCTGCTAGCTCAAGCTCACCAAGTGCTTTGAGATCCTCCCGTGGCAGGCCCTGGAGGAGCGCCAAGCACTATTGGTCAGAGAGAAGCTCCTTGGCCTGGATTTCCAGTCTCGTGGATGGGTAACTGGGGGATGTTGGGTTGGTGAAGTGCTTCTGGCTGGGCGGGGGGACTGGGCGCTAGCCCTGGGGTCTCCTGGTGCTCTGAGTTAGGGCGCTCACCGCCTGTCGCTACAGAGCCGGTTTAAAAGGCTGGCGAGGTCAGTAAGCAAAACAAGTAGCGTGGCTTCAGCATGTTCCTAGCAGGCATTGTGCACGTCCCAGGCCCAGCCAGCCGTAGCTACTTGGTATTGCAAAGCCAGGGGAGTTTCAAGGCCTGGTAGGTTGCATTGTCTGAGCTGAGCAGAGGGTGGTGGCCTGGTGCCTGCTGCTGTCTGCCTGGCTCTATTGCTCACTCGCTATCCTGGGTGCTCCCTTGCGTTCCCATTCAGCAGCTGATGGCCTGATAGCTGGTGGGCAGCCACAGCGTCCGCGAAAGGCTCCTGCTGTCTCAGGATACCAAGAGCTGAGCAAAAGCAGCTCTACCCCCAGCCAGTAAGGCAGCGACAGCAATGGGGACGCCAAGGTGCTGGACAGGAGTCCCTCGACTGCCCTGAACTTCCCTGACATGTACGTCCCTGTTACATGGGTAGCTTCTGTAGGAGCCGAGTTGCTGGTGGCTTGAATTTCCTTGGACAGTTGCCTGCAGTCTATCAGCTTTGTTCTCACCCTGAAACAGAGGGAAAAGGGGTGAGGGGCCTGGTTTCTGGACTCCACGGGGACCCCAGTGTGCAGCTGGAGGGCCAGATGTGGCCTGTATTAAAATGAAAACTTCCCTCTGAAAGCTTTCTAGCTAAATCCACTCAAGGAGGAGAGGGAGCAAGTGGGGAGGAGATGGGTCCAGAGCAGCAGAGAGCGAACTGAACCCAGCTGCAGGAGGGAAAGGGTTAAAGATGTTTGTTTTAGATGGTGCATGGATGAAGAAGCAGCTTCCCTGCCCAATCTCTACCCCAACAGGGACCCCCTTGCCTAGCGAAGCCAGATGCAGTGGTGGGTGGAATGTGAGCATAGTGTTCTCCCACACTGGCCTGGAGGGGGCAGTGTGGAGCACGGAGGGTTCATATTGCCCTGGCAGTTAATTTTCCAGCTTGCTTCCTGCTTGCAGGAGCCCAGCTCTCGGTGCTGGTGATCGGGCTGGGCGGGGGCAGCCTGCCTCTCTTCATCCACGACTATTTCTGCCAGTCCCGTGTCGAGGCGGTTGAAATCGACCCCACCATGCTGGAGGTGGCTACCCGGTGGTTCGGCTTTTCCCAAGGCGACAGGATGAAGGTTCACATCTCGGATGGCCTGGACTACGTGGCCAAGCTGGCAGCATCGGCGGGTAATGGGCAAGGGTCCCTACAGACTGATGCATCCCTGAGGCCCCCCCATCCTGCCTCCCCACTCTTGAATGCTGTGAGAGGATGGTATCGGTTCCACGCCTGTAGCTGCTAGCCAGGGTCACCGCAGAGCAGTGCTGAGCACTCCCTTTGCTTCTTGACCCTGGGCACTGAGCACAGCAACCCCAACGCTCATCTTTCAAGCTCCTTGTGGTTGTTTAGCCTTGTACCTCACAGGGATGGGACGAGGGGATGGGGAGACTCGCTGTTCCGGAGATCCCACTAAGGCAGTGCCCAATGGGGTGGTGGGAAGAGAGATCTGATGATGATACCTAAGTGGACAACTCTGACTCATACCCATCCCTTTCTTGTTGATTCCCCTACTCCCCACCCAAGTGTGTCCACACGACCTCTCTCTCCTCTGCCCAGTCCGTCCACGCTAGCCCATCACTGCTTTACCATCAGCCATTTAATTTGTATGTAACACACACGTGAGCTGAGGTGCCATTAGCAAGGTGTGGAAGGTTATCTGATTCTCTTCCACCTGCAGCCATTAGCATCATGAGCTATGATCTTTTCAGCTCTCCTAAGCTAAGCAGAATCATCCTTTGCTGGTATGTGGATGGGAGATCTCCAAAGAGAACCCAAACGCTGGAGAAAGTGGTGGTGGTGCATCATTGGTTGCATTCTTTCCCCTGTCCCTACTGAATTAATGCCACAGCCTGGCATTGGGTGCTGCAGGAGGGCTCATCTTTCTGGCAAGATGTCAAATGGGCGGTGTGACCACTTGTGGTCACTTAAAGATCTCCTGGCCTGGTGCCAAATTCCAGCCTGGCTGCCTGTAGTTCCAATGTGACAGTGTTCTTTGCTTCCCCTGTTAATTGTTGAGCGGCTGCCACATCCACTCCAGAGGTGGCTGCATTTCTGTGGAAGGGGAGAAGACTCCTGCAAGTGTCATTCATAAAGCCTTGGATGGAAGCTGCTGTGCAAATGGCAGAAGAATCTCTTTTAACCTTCCACTTTTATCTCAGCCACTCGCCCAGTGACTATGGCATTGAGCAGTGCTTGGCTCATCCCACGCTATTGCTGCCTTGCTCTTTGGACGCTAACTGGGCTGTTCTCCTTCCGCAGCACCAGCCCGGTATGATGCTGTCATGTTCGATGTAGACAGCAAGGATCCCACCCTGGGAATGAGCTGCCCACCCCCAGGCTTTGTGGAAACGTCCTTCCTGCAGAAGGTTAGAACCATCCTGGCACCGGAAGGTATGGAAAGGCTGTCAGACAGCCTCGCATGTGCGCAGATGCCACGCTATGGCGCCTGCCTCCCAAACGGCTGTCTCCAGGTGTCAGCACCCTCTTAGAGTCTCTTCATGCTGGAAGAGAGCAAGTGTGACCCTAGTGGTGAAAGCTGGGCGCTGGGTGGCAGGATCCCTGGGTTCTGTGCCTGGTTCTGCCACTCAGTGGCAGAGCAGCCTCTGTGACTCAGCCCCATTTTGTAAAACAGAGCGAATAACGTCCATCTGACGGGAGGCTCAATGGCATAACGTTGATGAGGCAGATGCAGCCGCTCAATGGATGTACAGGGCGGTGTGGGTCAGATTGCAATGCCCTCCCCCAGGATGACTAGCAGCTTGCTCCATGAGTGGGCCTGCTGATACCAGTGGGTCTGCTCATGGAGGAAGGGGCAATGAGGGATGGCAGGCTGGCCCTGTGTATACTCAGTGATTCGCTGGCATTAGCGACAGCAACGGGACCCCTCTGCTAGACACTGGAATCGGCTGCTAACTAGCTGCAGGCCCATGGCTGCTCTGCACGGGCCTCTCTTCGTTTGCGCTGTGTGCCAAGACACCCACTTGGCCTTCGGTGCTGGTGCTCTCAAGCTTTACCCAGATGAGGGCCATGGCGCCTTCTTTCTGTTAATTCAGGAGCTGCACCTAATGGACATAAATGGAGCAGACTGAGGCTGCAAGCCTGGCCATGCTGCTGCTAGACCGTGAGTTCCAGCATGCTTGGCTGCTTGCCTCCAGTTGGAGCTCAGCCTGCTGGGATCTGTAGTCCCCCAGAAGTGCCTCTATTGGTGCAGAGGGTGGAGCAGGTTGCCTCTGACCACTCCAGTTCCAAACGTGCCTGTGTTTTCGGGTCTCTTTCCCCTTGCTCCAGGTGTTTTTGTGCTCAATCTGGTGTGCCGAGACTCCCTGCTCAAAGACTCAGTTCTGGCTGCCCTCAAGGAGGTCTTCCCTCTGCTGTACACCCGGAGGATCGAGGGGGAGGTCAACGAAATCCTGTTCTGCCAGCCGCACCCTGAGGGGAAGCTGGCTGCCCCAGAGCTCCTGGAGACAGCTAGGACTCTGGAGAGGACGCTGAGGAGGCCCGGCCGAGCGTGGGATAGCTCCTACGTTCTGTCGGACATGCTGAAGGCAGTGGAGATCGTGTGAGGGGGACGTTCTGCCTCGTCTGGGTTACCCACTTGTGCTCTCGATTTGGAGAGAGGAGCTGAATGCAGTTGTGCCGTCTGACTGTAAACACTGCAAGTGAAGAACGGTGCTCTCCAGCACCTCACATACGTGCTCCTCCCGGCTGCTAGGGCCGGAATGGTGCCCCTCAAGCAGCCTGTCCGAGGGGAGGTGGGATCCTGGGAGGGAAAGCCTCCCTCTGGGGAAAAAGGGAGGCTGCCAGCCATAATGAAAGGACTGGGGCGACCCCTGCGCTCCCCAAAAGGGTCTCAAGGCAACGGCCAATGGTGTGAGAAGTTCTGTTCCTTCTCCGAGTGGCTGTGAGCCAGTTGATTAGGGGAATGGGGCCTGGTCTAGCTCGACTCCTTCGGCTCCTTATTGCTGCGGAGGCCAGTCCCCTGGGCACCAGCGCCGGATGTTCCCCGCTCTCTGCTTTTAAAATAAAGGTCTTTTTCCTTGGCAGATGTAGAATTGGGGAAGCAGGGCCTTGGGTGTGGAGTGGGAGGGCCAAAGCTGGTAGGCTGGGGAAAAGTGAGGAAGTCCATCTTACAACAGGGGGCTGCCTGGGTCTGTGACTGACCACAAATCCCACCCGTCTCCTGTGTCTGTTCACCTGACTCACCCCTATGCAGTTTTGTCACTAGCCCTGCCTGCCATTTGTACGCTCTCACCCCAGCTCTCCCATCAGGTGAATATGTGGGATCTGAGGAAGAGCTAGGCCCAGCTCTGATCTCCACTGGCCTGCATGGCTCTTTCTCACTGAAGTCAGAGGGAATCCCTGCTCTGTAAGGATGTTAGAATTGGGTCCTGGGTGGATCTGTTTGTACTGCAGTGGCTACAACCCCAAAGCATGTGGTGAACATCTGATGTGTCTTTAAAAATGCTCTCAGCCAGCACCGGTATGTCCTCCTGTGTCGTCCTCAGACTGTCAAAAAGCTTATGTTCTTCCTGGATCAGTGTCATACTGCAACTACCTCTGGGCTAGAGCATAGCTAGGTTGAACAGTCCATAGCAACCTTAATGGTGTTTTGTGTGATGAGACATGGAGAACTCAGTGTGCTGAACTAGGATGGCCTGAATGTAAACACTTGCCTTGTCACATCAACCCACGCTGGTTCTTCCTCCTAGGAACAGTGCTCAATGATGGTCCTTTGTCTGAGCACTCAGGGCTTTGTCTTTGCATCGCTCCTAAAACTTGGCCCTTCTTCCAGCACAGCAGCTGGCTCAGTGCAGCTGCTGCAGGAGGGATGTCACTGCCTGAATTAGCACCATGCTTCCTGCTGCACAAGTGCTATGCCTGGGGGTGTATCCTATCCAGGTGTGAAACAGATCCAGCACTGCTGGCCCTTGGAGATCTGCCCAGGTCAAAGCCTATGGGGCTGGGGCTGCAGGCAGATGTGACTTGGGAGTGGAAATTGTGCCCCTGTAGCCCTGAGAAACAGACACAACAAAATTAATTTCCCTTAGTACTAAAGACAAAACTCAAATAGCACCAACTGGCCAGGCCCAGGGACCTGCAAGCCTTACCCCAGCACGTTGCGCTGTTGGTCGGCTCTCTGGTCCACCTTAAGGCACCCCTCAGAAGGAGGTGGGTGCTTGATGAAGGACCTCTAGGCTACAACTGCCACCTAGCCCCACATCAGCTCAGCACCCAGTCATTCCTCTGCGAATGCTGCTAGAGCCCATGGCACTCGCTCCCATTGTCTGTCAGCCCCTTCCTGCCAGCATCAATACTGCCTCCCCCTCAGGGGATGTTCCTACCCATCCTAGGCCCCAAGCCGGGATGCCAGGTGTGATTGGTTAAGGCCTTGGCACCAGCCCAAATGCCATTTTGCATAGACCTCTCATAGACTCAGGTGCCACCTGCCACTTCTGCCCTAGGCCTCTGGAGCTTTCACCTCTATGAGAAAGGAGGGTATCTAGCCACCAGCCCTGAGACTGACCTCTCTGGGTTAATACGGGGGGGGGGGGGGTTGCTGGCCTGACCCCTGCAGAAGTGGGGCAATGGCCTCTCCAGCAGAAGGGATGGGCTTCAGGGAAGCAGAAGTGAACTTTTTCTGGGGAACAGCTGATGGAAGGTGGGGAGGAGGGAACCAATGGGGGACTCCAGCACTACTGTGTGGGCAGTGCTCTAAGAGAGCAGAGGCATCAGTGGGTGTTACCAGCTGGTAACTGATTGGCTCACTGTATGCATAGCCAAGGCTCTGTGCACACAAAGTCCCTGTGGCCACCTCCCTCCAGGAGCGAGAGTCAGCTAGCGTCAAGAACAGGTGCCCAGGACTGAGTGAGGTGACTGAATAAAAAGGTGAGGGGAAAGTGCAGCCAGAAAATGAGCAGCAGATTCTGGAGAGGGTGTTGCGGGGGGTGGGGGGCTGCTGGATGGCGATGACCATCTGAGCCTCCCTCTCGCCATAGTCCTTCCTTTGCCTTGCAGGTTAACAACAGATGCACCTGAGTCCCTTTGAATTGTTCCCCTGCGCTATCCATACCTGGACATGCTACTCTCAGAAATTCCAGATCCTCTGCCCCCAAAGGAGCCCTGTAGCCCAGTTTGCCAGTTTTACCTCAAACCACTGCTGTATAACACACAGCACTTGTGAGCATTTAGAATAAAGCCAAAGTAGGTTTATTTGGAAAGAACAGAGAGTTAATAGAAACGAGAGAGTGCTGGTTACAATACAAACCAAAACAGGCACTTCTCAATAGTTCCCTTTCCTCTCTAAAAAAGTTGGTTCTCCCCTCCACCCCCCTAAAGCACACTCTCAATATCCATTATTCCTTAACTATTACCCATACAGACATCTCTCAATGGTTATGAATCTTGACAAAATTACGAGCTTTCTGTAGCTACCTGACATGTTATGCTTTATGGATAAATAGTCTGTAAGACATGTTTGATGTAGTGAGTTTGTCAAGTCTCAGGTGAGACTTTGTTGTTTGCAAAGAACAGGACCCTTTGCGACGAAGCCTCTGTTACAGTGACTCTGGCCTTTTTGTCTAAGCATGGGCTATGCAAATCTCTGTTCTGCACCTCTCTTGTGGGACCTGGCCTCTACTATCTGGAGGGATTTTTTTATTCTTGAGGAAGGAAACCAGCTGCCTGAAAGCTGCCTTTGTTCCATTCCAACTGCCCAAGTGTCCTAGCAGCTCTCAGCCAATGACACTGGCGTGGGACAGACTAGGCAGGGGAACATGGCAGTGAAAGGCTCTGCAGCCCATGGCCAACTCCAGAGCCAGGCACTTCCCTGTCCAAGGCACTCTGGAATACTTCCCTGATATTCTTTGCACTTTTTACAAACCAGTGCTGGTGAGAGGCAGTGGATTAGCCCATAGTGGGGCTTTGAGCCTGCCTTTCCCATGTTGCTAAAGGGGAAGGACATCTTGGCTAGAGACGGGGGGAGGGGTTTCCAGCATAGCAAAGGTTGGAAAAGGCTGAGAACTGCTGAATTATTTATTATTGAGCTGTAAGGGGATCAGCCAAGGGACAGGACTTCCTGAATGTCTTTCTAAACACAGATGGAAGTCTCCACCCTTCTAAAAACCAACATCAGTTTACTAGCAAGCAGCCTCCCTCTAGTCTCCCATGGGCTGTAATACTTTGGTCTCATTTTGGGTGTTGGGGTTAGTGTGTGGGTGCTGATGGTGACCTATGCTGTACAGGACATCAGACTAGCTGATCTCTGGTGGTCCCTTCTGGCCTTCGACACTATTTAATAGACGTGAGGGACGTGATCCTGCTCTGGATAAGGAGGAGCTCCAGGTCACTGAGATTAGGCAACTGATGTTGGCAAAAGTTCTGCCAACATAACTTTCTAGTGTGGCCTCGGATAAAGGCGGGACATAGATTTCATCTCTGGAAACCTTGGATTCCCACCCCGCCTTCCAGGTTATTAACAGGGATGGGCAAAGTCATTAGGGATTGAATTTTCCAAAGCACGTAAGTGATTTAGGAGCCCAAATTCATTTTCAAAAGTGAATTCAGCACTTAGGAGCTTCATGACATTCAGTGAGATGCTGGGTGCATCCACACCACAAATGAAGGTGTGACTGCAGTGCAGATAGGCATAGCTCTGCTAGCTTTAATCCAGCTGGCATGAGTAATGGCGCAGGCTTCAGTGCGGGTCATCCGTCCCAGTACAAGCCCACCAGGGACTCTGGCTATGTACACGGGTTATTGCCCTGCATCAGGGTCAATAACTCTGCCTCTTCTTCACTGCTACTGTTACCTGTGCAAGCTAGAGGAAAGCTATCCACCTGTGCTGCTATGCTTTAGGAATCTAAATCCCATTGAAAGTCAATGATATATAGGCGTTTAAATCACTCAGTAGCTTTTGGAAAATTTAACCCTTTAGCCTCATTTCAGCCCTATTCAGGCATTGCAGGCTCCAGACTTTGACTCCGTCTGGGACCTGATGGAGTTCCCTCTGCATAGGAGAAGGGGAGCAGAGTGAGAGGCATTTGTCCCCATCCCAAAACCAACAGCAAGGGTCTGAGCTATCCTTCACTGCATGGGTTAAATTCCCTCTGAACTGGGGGCTTTGACTGAGTGAAGACTGAGGGATATGGCCCAATGCTGGGCCTAAGCTGGCTGTCTTGGAGCAGGCCTGGGCTGGCAGCGGATTGTGCAGCTGAGGCATAGGGAAGAAGTCTGCCCAGCTCCTGTCTGCATGATCCTGCAGCCAACTCCTTCAGCTTTCTTACTCTCTTTTCCCCAGACTTACACCAAAAGGGTTTTCAAAGGGCTTAGGAAGAATTCCACTTCCTGGATTGTATTTCATTAACAAAGAGTGAAGCCGAATGCAAGTGAAGTAGAACAAGTAGAACTCTACTGAACCCTGTGCGCTGCTCTGTCCTTGTGGCTGTGTTGCTGCCGGTCTGACTCCTCAATCCTTGTTCCCCTGGTGTCCCTTCAAAAACAGTCGGTAACGGCATTTCCTCACCTTGAGTAGCACCTCCTTGAGCCAGGGGACAGTGTTCCAAGAAGTCTCTGTCTTCAGCATCCCCTGTTGGTCACTTCCTCGGGCCCTCAGGCCTGTCTGTCTCTGGGTCTTCTGTGGCCTGGCCCACCAGTCATGCCACGTAACATTTCACTCCCCTTCTGGGGTAACACAGGATCCAACTGGAAGTCCAAAACAAATGCCCCTCTTGGACTCCACTGACGTTCGCTCCTTGCCCCTGCAGAGCTTCTCTTTTGTCTCCGCTTCTCCTCAGGATTCCCTTGCTGCCTCCCTTCCCCAGGGACTCTGGCAGCTACGCTTAGGGCCTACACAGAGCAGGGGAAATGCTGTCTCAGGGGGTCCCCTCAGGACTCTGCTCTGCTCCCTATGGGTCTCCCCGTTCCCCTTCTGGAACAGCGGCCCCAGGACCACCCCCCTGGATGCCTGGCCCTTCATTCCAGGGCTCCACCACCAGGAGTCGGCTCTACTCCTGTGGCTCAGCTTTCTAGCCACGGCTAGCCGCAAATTGCTGGGCTTCCCCTGCATGAGACTCCAGCATCGTGTGCAGCCTCTCCCCAGAGGCTGAATTCCCAGCTCTATTGAATGAGTCCCTCCTGATTCCCTGCGGCTGGGGTCATGTTATCATTAAGTTGCCATATTGCCATCAGCTGGGGGCTAGCTGTTAGGTTACAGCCCCTGGTGCGAACATGGGCCCACTGACTCACTATACAACTTCCCAATTTTACAACCATGTATATATACAATAAACACAAATAAGATTTGATACCCAGCCCCACCTGTGTCCCTTCAGCCAGAGGTTGCCAGCCCAGAGCCAAGCTGGAGTCTCATCTTTAGCACAGACTCAGCTGGTTACATAGTTGGGTCTCAACAGGCAACCACCCTAGCAGTGACCTGTCTCCAGCTCCCTGTATCCAAGTCTAGCATAGTCTCTCTCTCTGGATGTTCCGTGATGGTCTGTATCTCTGCAGGCTGTCTCCGGGTATTGAGTCTGCTGGATTGTGAGGGCCTCCTGTTCCTTCGGATCACTTGTCCCTCTTGTGTAGTCACCTCGTATGACCTGTGAGTGCCACTGCACCCCTCATGACTCTGTTAGTCCTCTCCTTCTGGTGTCTCTCTAATGGCTGGATCCTCACAGGAGTGCCTGTCTCCAGGGCGGTAGGTCCTTGGCTGACCTGTCGTACTCTAGCACCTGCATGCTCTGATTGTTGGCCATCTCCTCTCAGCAGTGTCCCCATCCTTCTAGCTGCAACACGTCTCTCCTCATTGGTAGCAGGGTTTTGGTCCTCTGCCCCATCATGGGCCTGCTCTGGACTGTTTTGGCTCCCCAGTGATGGGGTATTCCTGTGCGCCAACAGTACTAGCCGGGGTCTGACCTAGAACAAACAGCCTTGTGTAACAGTCTCTTAGGTGTTTCCACAGCTGATTCCAATTGACCATGACACTGTGGGGATGCCGGAAAGGAGGTGTAGTGATCAAACTCCCATTTGGGTGCAAATTCCTTTCATTTTTCTGAGGCAAATCGGGGTCCCTTGTCGGTGAATAAAGTGTCCAGATGTCATATCTCGCAAAGTGGGCCTTCAATTTGCCAGTCGCTGACTTACTTCTTGTATCAGGCAGGGCATCGTCCTCCCAAAAATTAGAACAGTAATCCACTGTAATCGAGGACTGCTTTTCCTTGAGGGTAAATAAGTCAGCTCCCATCATTTCCCATGGCCAGGTGGGAAGCTCCTGAGGTAACAGTCTCTTTCTGCTGGTGGTTATCACCCAACCAGCAGGTGTCACACCCTTCTACCAAGAGGCGGAGTTGTGTATACATTACCGCCAGTAAACACAGTCTCGAGCTCGTGTCAGACAGCTTTCAATGCCCACATGTGAGGCATGTACTGTTTGCATGACATCCCTACGTAATGAGGCAGCAACAACAGCTCTGTGGACTCAAAATATGATTCCATCTTGTACACTCAGTTCAGCTTTTATTTGAAAACATGGTTCTTGTTCCTATGGGTACTTGGCTTTTGTCTTCTGGGGCCGCTGCTAGTATCACTCTGTTGACTGCCCAGTGTTGGATGCCCTTTTCCATAGTCTCTGAGATATCCATCAGCTTCATTGTTGAAACTGGGGGACAGTGCAGCATGTTAATGGATTCAGTATCATGATCCCTTCCCCCAGCTCGCTCATGCTGGGTATAGATGCCCTGCTCAGGGTGTCGTCTAACACCAGTAATCATCCTGAGCAATATCTGATCTCTACCTGGCAGTACTGGAGGCGCATCAACGTGTGCTGCAATCTCTCTGGAGCACTAAGAAGGGGCTTTGCTGCGATTGTCTCTAGGGGTTTGTGGTCTGATTGCACTATGACTGGGTGGCCATAGGGGCATGGATGGAATTGCTCCACCCCAAATACCACAGCCAGAAACTCTCTTTCTATTTGGGCATTACCCCTGTTCAGTTCTGACAGGGCGCCCTAAGTTCCCTCTAAGCTGAGCGACTGCACAGCTACCTACTAAGCGCCTCGCAGGCGCTCAGGACTGCAGCAGGGAGAGATGCCTCTCCTCAGCCCCAGACCTGCCGCAGCGCCCCTCTCTCGGCCCCGACCCAGACCCAGCCCTGCTGCAGCCAGGGGACAGGTGCCCCTCCCCTGGCCCTGATCCAGCCCGGCCTGGACCTGCCGCAGCCTTCCCAGCCCAAGGGAAAGAGAGCTGGGGGGAGCCCTCTCTCCCCACCATAGCCCCAGGGAGCCCCACTGCACCCCAAATCCCTCATCCCCAGCCCCACCCCAGAGCTCGCATCCCCAGCCAGAGCCCTCACATCCCTATACCCCAACCCTCTGCCCCAGCCCTGAGCCCCCTTCCACACTCCGAACCCCTCGGCCCCACCCTCACTGCATGAATTTTGTTATGTGCACCAATATGAAGGTGAGGTGTCAGACATCACCTCCACATTGGTGAAAATGACAAAATTCATTCCGCACATGGGTGGGAAAAATTAGAGGGAACACTGGCTGGCATA